GGAGACCCCACTTGCGGAGCACCGCGAGCAAGTAGCCGTGGTCGACGCGGTCAAAAGCTTTTTCAAAGTCGAGGAGCGCGATGGCTGCCTCTGGCTTGTGGCGGCGGGCGTACTCAAGCAGACCTTCTAGCCGCTCAATGTTGTGCATGATCGAGCGTCCTCTGATGAAGCCGTTCTGATCCGTGTGTACCAAGAGGTCAGCGCACGGCTGCAGCCGGTTGGCCAAGACGGCGGTGAGGATCTTGACGTCGCTGTTGATGAGGCTTATCGGACGGTAGTTGGCAGGGCAGTCGCGATCGCCCTTCTTGTGCAAGAGGATCGTCGTGCCTTGGACTTGGTTCGGCGTGAGCGTTGTCTGGTCAAAGAGCGCGTGGTTGAACACGAGCTCGAGCGCGCTGGCCCACTTGGCCGGCGCCAATTTGAGGATTTCGTACGGCAGCGCGTTCGGGCCAGGCGACTTGCGGCGCGCTGCTTGCTGGATGCATTCGTAGAGCTCCGAGGCCAGTACCGGCGCCCCGAGGCGCTGGGCCATGTCGGTCGGGAGGCGCGTCTTGATCGTGGAGTCCAGGAACTGGTCGACCTCTTGGGCGTCCGGTCCTTCTTCTGCGGCGTAGAGCGACGTGTAGAATCCATGCAGGACCTGCGAGATCTCCTGCGGCGTGGTGCGAGCCTGACCGGTGGCGTCGCGCATCTGGTGGATCGAGTCCGGTCCCAGCTTCTTGATCGACGGAGACCTCAAGTGGTACTTGGTGCAGCGGGCGGCTTCCCTGCCAGAATCAGTTGGGTTGATAAAACACCGCAATCGACGCATCGGTGTGTTCACGACCATCTCGCACGACGCTTTGATCTGAGCGCTGCCAGACCACGCCGCCTTGCTTCCGCCTCGCTTCGGCTCGACGGGGCCTTTTTCTGCAACAGCCCAGCATCAACCTCGCGATGCGGGAGAGGGACTTTAGACACATTGCACCGTGGCCCGGCCGCCCGATGACGATGCTGCCACGTCATTGGAGAAGAAGCGTGTCAGAAATCAAAGATCTCAAGGAACCCACCGCCAAGTCGAAGAGCTGGGAGCTTTGGACCTACTGACCGAGGCGATCGTCGACGCATGCTCCGGCGTCCCCACGCACGACGCTGTCTACAACTTTCGAGCACCGTGCCAACTACTACTGCTGTGGTGATGAATAATAACGCGAATAAACGTCAAACTATAGGAGGACGCCCACCCCACAGTTCATCCAACATGACCAAGCGCGCTAAGGCTGACACGGGACGATGGCTGCTGCCACCGGTGGTCCTTCATGTAGCTCACTACCTCGATGAAACCATCGACGTTCTGGCCTTTCTACATGCGATGCCAAGTGACGCTCGCGACGAGGCCCTCGATGCGTGCGTGACTCTCCTCACACGAGCCTACGACAACTTCCTCTGGTCGGACACGGAAGTGTGCACCTTGGCGAAGATGGACCAAGCAACAGTAATCCAGGCGCTGCCAGCGTTCCACAAGCTCATGGTCGTCGAAGAGGCTCAAGTCGTCGCCTTTTGCCGTCGTACACCGTGTCCGCCGATGGCCAACGTTCGTGCGGCCGTCGACAACGTGCAAGGTCTCCAATCCAAGTTTGGCACCTGGGTACCGAGCATCACTGAGCTATGCATACATGTCGAGCGCACGCCGCTGGACAGACGCGTCCTTGAGCGTGAGCTTTCATCGTGTGCGACTCTTCAGGAGCTCAACATCCAGTGGGACGAGGCTCCTCTTGATCAAGTGCAGCTCGACGACGTCATGGCGGCCGTCGCTGCTTCGTGTCCACACCTCGCCATTCTGTGCCTCAATTCCAAGACGATTGCGAATTTGCAGTGCTGCAAAAGCCTTTTTCGATGGTTGTCTCAGCCGACGGCACGCCGGTTCAAGCTCTACGAAATCGACTTTGCGCCGCGCGCCGCCAAGACCTTGGCCCACGCGCTGCTCGCGTCGACGACGCTCCATACGATCAAGCTTTTTCGCGCCTCTAGCGTCATCAACGCGTTTTTGGATCCGAGCTCCCAGCCGCTGCCCAACCAACTGCGCAACTTGGCGCTCGAATTCGGATCCTCCTCATTCGATGCACCGACATAAGCAGCCAAGCTATCACCCACGACCATCCGCAGCTTGGATCTTCACTTGAATGTGACGCGCGACATCTCGCCCGTCATGGCCACCTTGCCGCTGACATTGAGAAGGCTCCGCCTCGCGACCGTCACGTTGGCGACCTTCCCGACGCTGCCAAAGCTCCAGAAACTGGATCTGTGGTCAGTGGCCTTGACGAACGACGCTTTTGCAAGCATCATGGCACTGCTCACATCATCCGACTCGCTCGAACGGCTCAACCTCGCGGACGCGGACTTACCCAAAGATCAGCTGGAAACGATTCTGTACGCGCTGCCACGTGTGCTCAGTCGCCAGAACAAGCGTGCTACGTGGGGCTTCCGGTGTCGATCGCGACCGAGATGCTTGTGGTCGCCGTGCTTTTCCTCGTGCGAAACACGCAGCGTATTTGGCTGGACCTAAACGGCGACAACTCGCTGGACCTGGCAATGTGCCAGCGCCTTTTGGCAGCCTTTCGTGCGACGTCGCGGATGGAATTGGGCTTTTACGGCGAAGACAAGCCACTTGTCCACGACGCCGACGTCACACGCTACGCTGCGTTGCACGGCATCGAGTTTGCCAATTGGTGCGCCATGGCTGGCGCCAGCGTAGTCACCTCCATCATACATGTTGTTTTAAGTCTTTGAGCCTAGCGGTGTGTTTGGAGAGTATGGTATCGAAGAATGCGGTGGAGCAAGACTTCCCTTGCGAGACGCGCTGTGTCGCCCTGGTCATCGATGTTTGGGGTGCGCCACCGACGTCAAAGTATTACTACATCCATCGATCCAAGGAAGCGACATCGGACAGCTGCCACCTTCTCTCGTGCGAGAGGTGCTTCATTGCATTCACGACGCCGACGACGCCAGCGCCTTTCTGAAATCGCTGCCCGACGATGCCATCGTGGCGCTCGAACGCCCTTTGCGTCAGGCCATGAGACGCACCTCTGGCCGCTCGTCACTATCAAGTGTACCGATCGAATACTACCACTTGCAACGACGGCCCAAGCGCTGCCAGCTCTCTGTAGCCACGAGGCGCTGTGCGACACAGCAACGCCATTGCCGCCCACAACCCATATCTGTCTCGAGTCGAGACAGATATGGCGCTGCAGTCGAGAGTCTCGACTGCAGCGACGAGGATTTTGTCTCGCCGACCTTGGCGACAAAGCCGTTGATCGAACGATGTTGGCAAAGGCGATATCGCTGTGTGCGTCGCTCAAGTCACTGGCGCTCGAGTTTCGCCACTAGCATGTCGTGAGACCAGCTGTGGTTGAAAAACAGCCCCGCGTGGCAGATTAGCTTTGCGAAGTTGGCTGCGGCGAGGCACAACACAGCTTGACACAACATGCCAGGCAAATCATTGGCAGATCATGCACTGCTTGCTACTATTGCCTCGTTGTTGGCTTCACTAACGCCACCTCTATATCTGTCTCTGCCAACCTAGCAAGTGTGCTCGAGCCGGACATCACGCAACGTCAGCGAGGACCGACCTCACAACAAACGCAACGACGACTCGCTGTCTTCCAGTATGTTCCTATCTATTAAAATCTATGACTCCATCCAACAATTCAGATTCAAGTCGGGCTCGGGCGCCGGCCTTTCTGCAGTGCGTAGCGGTAGTGGCGGTTGGCCGGCGCATGGTACACCAACACCGACACGAGAAACTCGCCGAGCATGTCACACGCTGCTTTCTTTGCCGACGGGCCGTCGTGGCCGCGGCCTTTCGCGACAAGCGCTGCGTTGACGCGAATGAGGCAGAGACTGCGGCCGTTCACGCGCTTCTCTTCGAGTCGAAACTACAAGAAACTCAATTTGTACTCCACACAAGAATATGGCATTTCGTACGTGTTGGCGGGCGCTCTCCATCACGTGCTCGACAGCAAGCACGCGCGCGTGTTCGAGCCGCTTGGCTTCGCTCTCGCCGAATCGCTGGGCAAACGTATCGAGGAGCGAGCTCCAGCGGCCGTGGAGGCTCGTGGTCAGCGCCAGAAGGTGTCGCACCGCTTCTTCTTTCGGGAATCTGTTCTGCGGCAGGCACTCGGCGGTCGTAATGCGCAGGTAGTATGCACCGATCGCCACGTCCACGCGGTACTCTCCATGCACGGTCGTCGACGCAATCTTGGCCTACGAAAGGCTCCATATGAGCGAAGGGTGTCCATAGGACATGTTTCAGACCAGCACGTTCGGGGCCACTTGGTACTGCGACGCATTCTCGACCCGCATCACAAGCTCGGCGAGCTGCTTGTCGGTCGCTGCCTTGTTTTCGAGCACCGCCCGTAAAAAGAACAGCGTTGTCGGCAGCACCGCGAGGTCTTCAAGTACCATTTCCTCCAAACGCGACGGGTCCGGGGCGTTGATGGATGTGATGACGGCCGGCGCGTCGACACGCGGGCGTTTACTGGGGCGCGTGTCGTCGGTCGCCGAACGCCGAAATTCTTCGATCGACTTAGGGCGGCTAGTTGGGACGGGAGATGAGGCGGGCTTGGGCTTGGGCGGGACGTGGCGGGGTACGCTGCGAGACGACGGCACAAGATTGGGGGTGCGCGTGTTGGACGGCAACGGGACGGGCACGGGCTTGGTCGGTATGGGGAACAACGTGGCTCGCGCGATCGGCGAGGACGTGGCGTCCGAGACCTCGGCCGGGCTCTCGCAGACAGGCACCTCGATCGCGTGAGGGGTCGCGACCTCCTTGAAGCCATTCTTGGTCTTGATGAGCGCTTTCGTCGCCGTCGGCGTCTTGAGAATCGCGTTGTGCATGGCCTGTGATGCGTACGTCTGTCGCTCTTCGCGCAGCTGCGGCGGCGCGAGGTCGTCGGCCGACATGGTCAGGAACGCAGAGGCTGCGATTTGACCGGTCACGAGCTGTTGCCGCAATAGCGTATTGGCGGGCAGGGCCACCGCCGTCTTGAGCCGGCGCGCGTGGTCGAAAAGCGTTTTCTGAACACTGCCCGGCGCCGCCTGCGTGTTGCTCATCCATATCGACGTGTAGTGACGCACGAGCTGCTGCACGATGCGCTGGGCGGTGTCGACCGCGTCTGCGTGGGCGTGGTCTTGTCCAAGGCCATCGAGGAGCCAGGTCAAGAGTGCTTTGATGCGGTTCTCGCTGCTCTGGAGCCACTTGAGCTCGACGGGGCTGTACGCTGCGACCCACGACGTGTCGAGCGCTTCGGCGAGGCGGGTCAGCGCGACTCGCTTCATGAGCTTGGTCACCATGGGAAGGCTGCGGTGCACATGGTCGACGTGCATGGCCATCTTGGCGCTGATCCACTTGTCGAGGTCGAGGCGCAGTCGCGTCTCTTTGGATGCAAGGATGCCATCGCGCATCGTGCTGGCTTCGCGGACAATGATGGCCAGCAGGTCGGCCTGTCCCGACAGCGTCGTCTTCATCATAGTTGCTTCGTCGTCCGTGCACGCCCGGTACAGAGGCGCCGACTTCATCGTGAGCTCCTTGCCTTGAATCTCGAGCACCTTGGCCTGCGCGAGGATCGCCTTGAGCGCAGAGAGCGTTGCATCTTGCCGCGCGGCCTTGGGCAGACCGAGGCGACTCGCGTGCAGCACAAGAGGGCGCGGCGCGGCAGCCACGATGGCCTTGAAATCGTTCTGGTCCGCGCCTTCTATCGCCAAGTCGCGGTCGTTGACGCCGGTGACGTAGTCGCCAATGCGAAGCGGAAGATGCGCTGCGGGATTGATCTTGGTGACGCGGAGGACTGTGGGTTGGCGACAGGCCACCTCAAGGCCCAGCCGCGGGCTCTCAAAGCACACAGTGACGGGCTCGCCGGCGTGAAGAAGCTCGTGGAAGAGCCATCGGACTTGCTTCCGGTGCACGCGGATGTCGGCCTTGAGCTCGATCTTGGCCAAGCGGGACATGCTGCACCTCGTCCGCGTCTCGCTGCCCGACTCGAAGGCAAATACTCTCAAACTAAATATGTGGCCGTCCACCAGCGACCAGTGCAGTGTACGCGGCGAAAACCTCTCATGTTTTATATTGGTAGTTTAGATGAGGACCAGCTGGATGAGGACCTTGTCTTCGGAACACTGCATATTGGACACTACTGTACTGTACAATACTGGTCGGCGAGCTGTCCATCAAAGTCGGATCCACTGCTCAACGATATGTGTCGCCATTTCGCCAGCACGGTGGTCCGCACGAAGCGGTCGTGGTACACAGTGGATGGAAACAGTGTATTATGACACCGTTGAATACAGAAGCCTTTGGTAACCTCACTGCTTTACTGATCCCCAGACTCACCTAGACTCACCCCTGACACGTCTACTCACCGCAAACATACAACGCTCCGCATTCGCGCCCGACACTGAAAAAGTTCCTGTCAGCTGACCCTGCAAGACCTCTGAGTGGAAACACTGTCTGGTAGACGAATGCAAAATCGATCGTGTTGTGGCCTGAGACTCTGTTTTCGCTCGCAAACGGAGCTGCTACTGTGTACAACGTAGCACTGGAGGTGACGACTATATATTGTACTGACAGACAATATTTCGCTCGAGGATTTGCCCACAACGACTTCGTTGGATCTTTGCCGAAGAAGACGTGCGCATACACTCATATTGAAATCAACCAATCCCATGCGATACATATTGGTTGCCCAAGTGCGCCTTCCATCATATCAGCATACGAACCAATCAGCGCGCGCGATCTTTCGCAGCTGCCAGCACGACCCAGGACCACGACCAGCCGCCGCAAGCGTCCTGTACCGACGCAGGAACCTACGTCTGCATCCTCACGCTACTCGTACTGGACCAAGGCGCTTCCTCTGATCACATGCTCCGTATGCTCGGCGACGTCGCGCCTATGGGTACCTGGGAAGAGGCCCCGCGGATCCGGATAGAGTTGGACGTTGGGTCCGACATCCGGATATCGGGTTCGGCAACTATTCCACGCTCCCAGTCCGTTAGACGTCGCTTGAAGCATGAACCCCGACGGTCGGCTGCTGGCGAGCCCTGCGATGAGCCCCGACGGCCCGCTACCACGGCTTCACCAGCACCATGGTATGCACATGGCGCCCGAGTACCTCCGTCCACAGGCGCAGCCAGACCACCGGTCGTCGCCCCACACGAGCCCGTCGCCGAGCGAGCAGCAGCAGGTGTACCCGCTCCGGCGCGACGACCATGCCGACGCGTACCATGCCAAGCCCCAGTATGTCGATCCGACTTCGCCAACAGCCGTGTGGCGTGCGAGGAGGCGCGAGGAGCTCGCTGCCGGCTATGGCCGGTCGCCGGACGAGGCGGCGCGTGCGTACGCGCCCGAGCCACCACCCGTGTACGCACCCCGCCCCGATCCTAGTAGCAGCAGTATGTACTATGCAGATTGGCGCCAAGAGAGCTCGGGCCATGAGCGTGCGTCGAGTCGAAGACGCGTCGAGCACGCGCTTCGGAGCCACGCGCGCAACTACGACGAGCTTCTCCTCATCATTTCCGCGATCGACGAAGAGCTGCTGCACATGTCAAGCAACTCGAAGATGCAGTACTTTGACAGCGCGATGGATTTTCAGAGAACTCTCGAGAGCGGTTGCACGAGCTACCGGCTGTAGCCGCCTAAGATCTGGTTCTGCGTCGTCTTCCTCCTCCTTGTCCTCCTTGTCTCGCATCTCCTACTTGGAGCCGAACTCTTCCTCCCACTTTTGAAAGCGCACAAGCTGGTCTTGGCCCACCGACTTGGAGACGTTCTCGAGCGCCATGAGAATATCGTTCTACTCCATCGCATGATACGGCGCGTGATGCGACAGCGTACCATGGTGACCACGAGCCCGTTTTTCTCCATGGCCTTGATCTCGTCGTCGCCCGCGCCTTCGTTGCGCTTGGCTTGCAACTAGCTTCCTTGAATGAGTGCGATTTGGAAGATCGCTGCGAACGTACTTGGACGAGGTACTCGGGTGTATACAGGCGCTTGACGGGAAACATCTTGGCTACGTCATGCGTTGTTAAGGTCCATTCTCGTTTGTCATGAGTTGGCACCGGTCTCGCAGACGCCGCAGATGTCGTCGCCACTGTAGCCCTACATGCGTGACATCAACCAACGGAGCCGGAGAAGAAGATAGCATCGATGCAAGGTAAGTACTTCGGTCGTCGTCGCGAGCGTGTCGTAGTTGACGTCGTCGGCGACATCGACTTTTTCAAGTTGAGCTGGAAGAGAGCTTTGCGGCCATGGAGGTCGGGCAGCGGAATGTCTATATTGCATGTGGTACAAGGATCGAGCCCCGACGCGCGTACACACGCGCTTGGTGAGGCGCCGGCGCATGGCCTCGTCAATCTGCCACGGCAAATTGGTCGCCGCGAGCACCATGACGCGGTTGTTCTCAATGTCCGTCTTCTCGCCCGACCCGACGCCGTTGATCTGCACGAGGAGCTCCGTCTTGACGCTAGGCGATATATACAAATGGCAACGGAAATCGATCGAATCAAAAATCCAAGTACCGGCGACTGGACTCGTGCTCTTCGGCGCCGCCGCGCGCACCGGCGATCGCGTCGATTTCGTCCATGAAAATGATGGCCGGCGAATAATACCGCGCCATCTCAAAGAGGATGCGCACCATCTTCTCCGACTCGCCGCGGTATTTGGACGCGAGCGTCGACGCCGAGACGTTGAAGAAGGTGCTGTTGCAGACATTGGCGACCGCCTAGTCGCGTGCTTGGTGCGAGTGAGCGAGCTCTACAGTGACCTTGGACAGCAAGGTCTTGCCCGTGCCTGGCGGACCAAACATGAGGACACCGTTGCAGGGCTTGAGGCGACCATCCTGCAGTACAATTGAGCAAGGTATGCTTCTCGTATGGCAGATCAAGCACTTTGAAGAGGTGGGGTGCGATTTGCGGCAGCATGACAGCTTCTTGGAGAAGCTGCTTGGTGTGCTCGAGGCCCGCAATGTCATCGAACGTGATCTTTGGACCGTTGTCGACAATGTCCCGTTCAATGCCTTCAATGAGCTCGACGTCGACCCAGCCTTGTTCGCGCGCCATCTCCGAGTACTTGGCTTTCTCACCGGGCTTTCTACAGAAGAATATGGATGCATGGAGAGAGAGAAAATACGTTTTCGTACTTGGGCGTCGAGCTTGTTGGGGGCTTGGCATCCTTGCTCGCGGGTGGAACGCCTGGCTTTTTAGCGCCCGGCGCTGGTGCAGCACGCGGCTTGGACGCTACGTGCCATGGATTTGGATTGAGACCGTTGCTATCCGAATGGTAGGAAGACCCTTTTCTGGTGCAGGCCGATTGGCAAGACGCGCCGGCGGGTTGCCACGGACAACGGGCGCGGCTTGCTGCCCCATTTGCCCCGCGGCAGCATTGAACCGGTTGCTATACCATGTAGTTAGACGACGTGCGTCGAGCTTCATGTATCGGACTTGCGCTTGGCGTTGTTGTCGGCCCAGTTGGGAACGCCAGCCGGGGCACCCCGTCGACGGTCCGGGGACGGCGGCGCCCATACATCAGGGTCCTATAAAGGCTGGTTCACTAAATCGTTGCATAATGGCGTACATCGTTGGACGGCGGCTTGTGGTCAGCGACTTGCCAGCGATCGCCCGACGACGGTCGGTCGGGAGGGGTGCTGGCGCGTGGCTTCCGGTTACGGGCGCCGGGTGCGAGCTTGAGGCCGTGCAGCGCATCCACATAGTCCAAGACACCTGCGAGCTCGGCCTCGAGCTCGCTCTCGACCTAAGACGACGCAATCGTACTGCGACGTCGGCGAGCTCGCGTACCTGCAGCCAGTCTTGACGCTCCTTCATCTGCGAGAGCCGCTTGATCGCGGGCTTGAGCTGGCCGAGGACCCCGCGGTAGAGACCGATACCCTTCTCGTAGCTCGAGAGCATGCATTGCTCGCGGGCCGTCGAGAGCTTCTCGCCCATCGCGCGGATCTCATGGGCGTGCAGCATCGTCGCCGATCGGAAATGGATCCAATTACGCATCCGGATGCTACGGATACGACGGTCCGGATATCGCCGTTTAGTCGATAAGAACGACTAAGCAACGACTAACTATACTTGAATCATTTGTCGCCCTCGTGGTAAACAACACAGCATTTCATGTGAGTGAAACATTAGCCAAGAGCAGCCAAGAAGGTATATAGATCTCCCAATCGAGGTCAAGCTGCTACGCAAGCTGTCACACCCCAGCGGATAATCGCGCGCAGCGACTCGGTTGCGAGTCTGCGACAAGCTGCCAAGCCGCATTAGATACTTCGCTGTCCATGCTACGCCATGCACAAGGCGCGGCAGGGCGTACTACAACTGACATTACTTGGTATCTTGTCGTGCTTTCCACGAGTAGAGTCCTTTTACGTAGACCATTACTAGAGCAGTTGATTGTGCAGCGCAACCCAGGCATCTTTGGTGTAAAACCTGGCGCTGCCCAGCTTTGTGAGCGCATTCAACGTCAAGTGGCAGTACAGCACCATCGCTACATGGCGTAGAAAGCATCCAATATCGATCCCAAAGGTAGTTCGACGCACCGAGCTTTTGCAGCGCCGAGAGGAGGTAGTAGTCTGGGCGGTCCCACAACTGAATGGGGGGGCCGCCACTCGACAGAATCGACTACAAGGAAGCGTAGTACACCACACTATAGCAATACAGGGACAACGACGTACGATGCGGGAGATGCCAAGCGCTGTTGTCAAGGCAAAGTAGACCCCGTGCATGTACAGCACCGATCGAAATTCCATGCCGAGGAGACCGAGGAGGCCATTGCGGAACGGAAATGTCATGCCAAGCAAAACGAACAAGTTGATGGCTGCGATGATTTGCACAAACGCCTGGGCTCTACACACTGTCGCGTCAATGGCAGACATAACGTCTGGCCGACGTACAAGACGACGCTCACTGTCGTGTTGATGCTCTTGGACGTTGCGAGGTCGACGAACTCGGCCGACGCATTGAGCGCCATGTCGGTCGCAAGGAAGAGGCCCATGAGAAGGTACTTGGCCAGGAACGAGGTCAGCAGACGCCGGTAGCCGCGGCCATCACGCTCCAAGCTCCAGATTGTCGTCATGATGAGCAGTTGTAGCGGACGGTTACGATGTTATCCGGATGTTTTGTCTGGTGGCATCACCGACTATGAGTTAGTCGCACTGGCCTTCAGTCACATTGGCAATGGAGCACTTGTAGCACACCACGCTGTAATCGACACACCGTACAAGGCTGTACGCAGGGATGCGTGAGGTTAGGTTGCGCATGCAGCTGGACTGCTGCGCCAGTCTTAGCGATCGCGTCAAGCGCCGTTGTGCGCTCTAGCACACTATTTTCTATGTCTACACTATTTAACGAAACATTGGAATTGAGCGGGAAGCACGCGCCAATCAAACGCCACCAACGAGGAAATGCACGTTTTTGGCCAATGAACGCGAGGTGCTCGGAGTTGCGTTTGAATATTCAAAGTCGCTTCGTCCAGCAGCACCGATGGGGATCTCGAACCTCCTGCCGCAGCTCAAGTCGATCACGTCGCCGACGACGCTTCGGCAGTACCGCGGGAAGACGGTGGCGGTCGATGGCTACTGCTGGTATGAGCGTGAGCGCCATGGCCACGGCCTCCTCACGCAGCGTCGACCTCCATAGGCTGCACCGTGGCGTCTACAGCTGCAGCCAAGAGCTCTGCCTCGGCCAAGAATCCGACAAGTACTACGCTCTACCGTCCGTCTCGCACCCTTGTCGCTCATGCGGAAGTGCTAGGTATATCAAGTACTTTATGGAGCGTGTCGAACATCTACTGACCTGTGGTGTGATCCCATACATTGTCTTTGATGGCGGGTACCTGCCGATGAAGAAGCTCAAGGAAGACGAGCGTCGAAGGTACATCCAATTACGTGCAAAGCGACAAGAGCTTGATGCTTCACGTAGCTCGCGCAACAAGAACCGCCAGAGTGGCCTCGAGTACCTCCACCAGAAGAAGTACGATCTGGCCCGGCAGTGCTTTGTCAAGGCCGTCGACGTGTCACCGTTCATGGCCCATCGCGTCATCGAGGTACACATATGCGCTCCATGGCGATGTCGCCGACCATGGTTTCGCGTCTAGTGTCTCAAGAAGCGCAATGTACAGTACGTCGTCGCGCCGTACGAAGCCGATGCGCAAATGGCTTACCTTGCGCGCAATGGTCTCGTCGACGCCGTCATTTCCGAAGACTCGGACTGTCTTCCATTTGGCTGCTCGACGGTACGCACGCTCTCTCCTCTCTGGCACTGAAGCTCTGCATTAGGTACTCTTCAAGATGGACCAGGCTGGACACGTGGACGAGATCCAGCTGTCCAACCTAGCCAAGAACAAGGGTCTGTCGTTCGTCGGCTTTGACGACGATATGGTGCATCTCCATGACCTCACTCCTCCTCGTCTCATGGCACTCGTGTAGTTTCTCGATATGTGCATCATGTCCGGCTGCGACTATGTCGCCTCGATCCCAGGCCTCGGCGTCAAAAAGTCCCACGGCCTCCTCCAGCGCTACGGCTCCTGGCGCAAGGTACCGACTTCCTTGCATCACAAACCATCTTCTCATATTACATCGTCTAGGTCGTCCGGGCGCTTCGCATCGAGAGCAAACTCAAGATCTCGCCCACCTATGAAGCCGACGTCGAGGAAGCCCGCTTGACCTTCCGTCACCAGCGTGTGTTTGATCCGCGCACCAAGGTTGCAGCACCACCATCACATCCATACCAACGTATCCGATGTAGACGCTCGTGACGCTGACACCGCTGCTATCGACGACGTTGACCAACACGGACTTTCTCGGGCCCGTCATTCCCGACGACATCGCGGCGCAGATCGCAGATGGGAGCATGGACCCAATCTCGCAGACGCTGTTCCCGGCGTCGATGGCAGCGCGGTTCACGGCCGTCCCCCGTGCGCTGGCCCCGCCAAAGCCAGTGACACCGGTCCAGAAAAAGGTGCCTGCGATGTTTGTGACGCCAGAGGCCGACAAGGAGAATGCATTCACGCGCATGCTCTCGGCGGCAGGCACGTCGTCGCTCGTGCAGCGGTCGACCATGAAGCGCAAGCTCCCGCTCAGCTTTGCCGATGCGAACGCTTCCAAGTGGATGTACAAAAAACCCACACACGTGCGTCTACATGTCCTCTTGGTGCTTGTGTACATTGGGTTGCATTTTGCCTACTTGTCGTCGATCATCATCTAGTCAATGAACGAGTCTCATGTGGTTGGTTGTGTTGTCGTGTAGCCAACCAAGACGACAGCTCACGTCACCAAGGGTAGCAGTCGCTTCTTTGCCCCGAAACCAAGCCTCAACGCGACTCCGACCCCAGCGCCGACCGAAGAGCCGATCCAAGAGCCGACCCAAAAGTCGACCCAAGAAGCGATGACGCCAGCGAGTACCGACGTCGTCGAGTCGACGCCGCCCGCGACGATCCCACAACCGACTGTACAGAGTCCGATCAAGAAACGCGCGCCGCCACGAACCCTCTTTGACCACTTTCGCTTCCACGCTTCGGCGAAGTAGATCTAGAGCAGATGAATACAGTGTATGTATGTGAATAGACAAAATAGTAGATACTCACACCACAAGGCCAACTGGCGGGTACGGAGCCGTCAGCGACAACGGGTCCAACCTTCCTTCCGCCTCGGTGCCACCGACGCCCCAAGCCGTGAACACGTGCAGTGCCAAGGGTCAACGAGTCTGACGTCCTTGCACCCACGCGCGTCACCGTGCGCTTCTTACGTCAATGACGCCAAATGTCCTTAACGCGTCCTTCTTTCCGTCGTCGCCACCGCTGCCTGGGCAACTGCGCAGCCTTGCGACGGATATCGAAGACGACTGGGACGATGCGCCGTCGCTCATGCGCAAGCTGTCGTCTTCCTCTCTCGAAGCCTCGGACCTTTTGTTCTCCAGAGACAGAGGCGCCGATCATGGTCGCCAACTTTGCGGACGCTTACACTTGACGCAGCTCACGTGCGAGCTTTCGGCAGCTGCCAGTGCTCGGGCAACTTCGCCATCAGTTTGTGACTTTGACACACCGCGGTGTCGATGATATCGCAGCGACGCTTGCGGCGTCGACAACGCTCTACCATCTCAACCTTGGATTATCGCGTCTGCCACAGGACCAACTCCAAATGATCCTCTACGCGCTGCCGCACTGGCTGAGTCGCCAGCAGAGCGTGTGCTACGTCAGCCTCGAGGTGACGGACGAAAGCCACATCCAGATCATTGCCGCGATGCTCAAGACATGCAACGCACATGGCGTGCGAATTGAGCTGTGCGGCGACTCGCTCGGGCTCGGAGCGTGTCAAGGCCTCGTGACAAGTCTTGCTGCCACGTCGCAGATATCGCGTTGGGCGTGCGTGGCAAGTTCCGCGACGAAGTCGAAGAGCTCAAGGAACACGCGCGGCTGCACAACATCGCGTACATCGGCGACTGGTTTCTCTCGCCCGCCACAACACCATGGCTGCCGCTTGCTTAGTCTGTTTCCCTTCGCAGGAGCGATGCTTCCATCAAACACATGTATCGCGAATGTGAACTCATTGTCTCCGCAGACCTCGCTGGTCAAGTTCACGTTCTCAAGAATCGGTCGGTACCCGCGGGACTTTCTTCTTCTCAATAGATAGGTGGTGGTTCCGAGACGCGCGATGGTCAATGGCTCCAACCACCAAGAGACTCGCCAAGGTATGGGAGAAGCATTTTCTTATCGTTTTTTGTAAGCACAGACACAATCGACTACTAATATGATGAGACCTTTACACATCTCGGGACATGACGGTGCCCGGGTTGTACGTGAAGCCGTCAAAGTGGGCCTGCGCACGGTGCGTCGCGCCGAGCTGCTGCGTCACCGGCGAGTCTTTCGGCGGCTCGCGGAGGAAGACGCCGGCGACGTTGGTCGTGTCGTGCTCGCCCGTCACCGTGGGCTTGAACGGCGCCTCCATTTCCTTGCGCATGAGCTTGTCCCAGTCGATGCTTGCGAAGAACGGGTGGTCCATGATTTCCTGGGCGCCCGACGGGCCCGACCCGAGTCGCTTCGCCGGGTCCTTGCGCAGCAACTAGTTCATCTCATGAGTCATCCGTCACTCCATGCACAACAAGCGTACGCCCGTGAGGAGGCTCTTGGCGTCCTCGGAAAACACCGGCGTAAACACGACGTCGCGGTGCAGAATGTTGTGGAACATCTTCTTGCGGTTCCGGTCAAAGAACGGCGTCTAGCGTCATCCAATCAGATCGCATCGATGCGAATCGTCACGCTGACATCGTACCTGTCCCGTCATCATCTCAAAGAGCAGCGTGCCAAACCCCCACCAATCGACGGGCTTGCCGTACGAGAGACCCTTGAGGAGCTCGGGCGCAATGTACTCGGCCGTGCCGCAAAACGTCTTGGCACCGTCCGGAACGTCGACGTTCTCCTTGGACAAGCCAAAGTCCGTGAGCGCCACGTAGCCCTTGTCGTCCATCAAGATGTTTTCGAGCTTGAGGTCGCGGTACGCAATGTTGAGGTCGTGGAGGTGCGACATGGCCATGAGCAGCTGCGCCGCGTAGAACCGCGCACGCTTCTCGGAAAACTTGCGCGACTTGCGCAAGTGGAAGAAGAGCGTCCCGCCCGTGTAATAGTCCATGACGAGGTACAACTTGTCCTCGGTTTGGAACGCATATCGCAGCCGCACGACGAACGGGTGGTCAATGTCGCGCAGGATGCGGCGCTCGGCCTTTGTGTGCTCGACTTGGTTCTTCGCAAAGACGTTGGCCTTCTTGAGCACCTTCATCGCGTACGTCGCGTTGCCGCTGTTGTCCTCGCCGTTCTCGGCCTTGCGGCGCACGAGCATGACCTTGCCGAACGCGCCCTTGCCAATGACCTTCATCAAGTCAAAATCGTCGACGCTGAGCTTGCCCTTGGGCGCCTTCTCGGTCGAGCCGGACCGCGACCGCTCCTGGCGCGACTCGAGCATCGAACCGTTGAGGTTGTCAGCGTTCGAGCTCGACGGCCCGCGGCGCGTGCTGCTGGTGCTCTCGCCAACCGTCGACCCGCTCGACATTTGCCGCGTGAGCGTCGCGGTTGCGTCGGGCGGGAACGGCTTGTTGCCGTCGCTCGCGCAGTCGGTACAGACGCGCTGCGCAGTCGCCCAGCCCGGCAAGAAGAGGCGGTCGCGCGAGCACGCGTTGCACACCGCGCGGTGGCACATGCGGCAGTGGTGGCGCCGGTCAAACATGGTAAAGTGGAAGAGGCAGAGGTTGCAGTGCTTTTCGCTGCCGGGGTTGATAAACTTGCCGTCCGACGCCGTGCGCTTGAGCTTCGGCGCGCTCGGGTCCGGCCGGAACGTGTTGGTCGCCGTGTTGAGAAAGCTATCGTCGCTGGTGCCGGTCGGGAGCGGGATGTCGGCCGGGCGGTTCTTCTCGGCCTCGACGTACGTCAGCGCGTCGCTACAAGCCACAACATATGAGCGTTTACAAGGAGCAAGGAGAGAAAGGCCGTCGTACCGGACAGCGAGGAAGCGGAAGAGCGCATCGGCCACGTTCTTGATGCAAAAGGCCGCCACGTAGTAGTGGTTGGCGACCGCTCGCGGCGGCTTGCCGGCCGAGAGACACGTGCAGCCCGTGCGGTGGGGCGCGTCGCCTTCGAGCGGCTGCTGGAAGCCGACGTCGTGGTTGACCTCCCAGTACATGGCGCGGTGCGCGAGGAGCGACTTGACCGTCTGCGCATCGCCGTCCTCAATGCGGTGCGACGACTCGATGAGCGCGATGGCACCGTTCCGGCGCAGGAGTGCTTCGCCGCGCGACTGCAACAAGTACTTGATAAGCACGCCGCCGTACGAGTACCCGATGAAGAAGACGCGCTTGGCCTCGGACGGCGCGACGAACGCATCCCAGACCGAGTCCATGTGTTCTTCGGGCGACGACGAGCCGGGGATCGGCACCTTCTTGTTGGTGTCGCGGAGCATGACGGCGTTCTTGTTCGGGTTGGGCACGACAATACCGTAGCCTTCGTCGAGCGCCTTGCGAAAGTACGAGAGCATCGAGCCCGCTTTGACGCCCGAGTTCAGAATCAAGCCGCGGCTCCAGAGGCCGGGCGAGAGGCCGCGCGAGACCGCGACAAACACAATGAGCTTCTTGGCCGTGAGGTAGTTGGACGAAACAAATACGTTGCACTTGAGGTGCGCGGGCCCGTTCGACGGGAGGTAGACTTCCTGGAAGCCCATCGTGCTCTTCATCGTCTCGTGCACGTAGCCCACGACCGCGTTCAGAATCTCGTCTTGGTGGATCGTGATGTCATTCTCATCAAGCTGCTTGCCGGTGGCCTTGAAGCGCAGCATGCCATCGTTGTCCATCGAGTAGAGCGGGTGCGAGAACGGCGGCGACTCGGGCTCAGGCTGCATCGGCGTCGCGTTCGAGCGCGAGGCCTGCGTGCGCAGCACGGCCGGGCCCGACATGGGCGCGGGTGGCATGCTCGAGAACTGCGTCGGCCCACCGCTGTTGCCGTTGAGCGTGTTGCTCTTCTTCCGGCGGAACCAGCCTTGGATCTTCTGCATGCTACGAGGCGTTTTGGGCTTTACGTCGGTCTCTTCCCAGTCGCCAACAAGCCAGTCAGCGAATATTATTTTTTTATTGCGCTTTTTATAGGTGGCAGAGGCGCGTATCCGGACACCGGTTCTTTTTCGTGTAACACTCCGTAACATATTGCAACGAATTATAATACGGCGAGTGACACACGCACGGAAGTAGTGTTACCATGAGACCACCGTTACCATGACCACAAGCCATACCGGTATGATGGCTCCGCGGTATGGAAATCATCGTATTGTGGGCGAGGCGTAGGGATGCGCTCGCTCTATATTCGATCCTCCGACGACCGTGGATCCGCAGTGACAGGATGTCAACTTGCGTGCGGAAGGAAAGAAATAGTATGCGTGTATCGAATCCGCTTTACAAGAAGACGCCACTGTGACGCACACGGCCCGACGCTACAAGTGCGACAAGCATGGCTGCCAAGTCCTATCTGGCCATAATCGACGCGACGAGTGTCGACGCTCCGTTGCTCGCACTGCGTGCGTTCGCGGGTGTACCCACACACTATCTGTTGTATAACACTATTCATTGCCCATTATAATAGCGCGAGTGTATATCGACCTTTGTATTTTATGTGGCCGCGAAATGCATTACTCACGAGTGGTTCGTTGGGCCAATCCGGATACTGGCGCCGACGAGATTGCATCTCCAGTGTACCAACCCGACGGCCGACGCGTGTTGCATTACGTGGAGGGCCGGCGACACCAAGTGGCAGCTGATCCTCCCTTCCATCGACCTATACAATGCTTCGTCCAAGCTCGTCTTGGCGTTGCTGGAAGAACGACAACATGAATGGTCCTCGATACTTGCTCATCCCTTGGCGCATTCCTCGCTCTGGATTTGGTTGCGTGGAGTGTGATTGGAAATGGTCAGATTCGCCGTCGCCGCTCATACCTGGCGCTGTACATTCATTGACATGTCAAGTTGGTCACCTGGACGCACGCTGCCCACAAGACTCGTGTGGGCAGCGAGCAAACATGCTGGCATGTTTGCTTGAATCAAACACGCATTTGGATGGCTTTAAAGTCATCCAAAGCGACTCTTTGGCAACGTTTAAGATCTAAGTTCGTCTTTACGACTTTACGTCGTCTTTGCGACTAATATCGACCCGACGGGGTGACGGGCTGCGATCAGACCCAGATACGAGACGCGCGCGACGAGACGACGCACGCAATCGCCCGAGCCGAGAAGGTTGCCCGAATTTTACCCTCGCATATCGTTTGCCTTGAATTATGGATGGTCTAAAATTGGCATGAAACCGTTTTTTTCGTCTTTTTTGAAACGCTGAAACCAAGAAAACCACTTTTGGAGCATGGCCGACGACGCCGACGTCGACGACGCGCCAACGTACTCGTGGAAGCGGTCCGATGGCACGGTCCGGGCCGAAGCCACCGACGAGAATGACGACAATGACAACAACCAGGGTGGCACGGACGACGTCCCGATCGTGTCGATGGTCGACGACCTCCCGCTCTTCGCCGACGACGCCAACAAGGCGCTGCACGCGCAGATCCGCGCCAAAGAGAAGCGGTTCCACGTCGTCAAGCAAGAGATCCTCGAGACGAGCTCCCGCCATGGCATCATGGACGAGCACCTCAAGAACGTCAAGCAGGAGCTCATCAACACGCAGTCGCTCCACAACTCGAAGCTCAAAGAAATCTCGACGGAAGAGCATCTTCGCCAAGTGAGCGACCGCGAGGCCGGGCGCGTCAAACAAGAGCTCAAGAAGCTCGACGTGGCCTACAACGACGTCGAGAACAAGCTCAATGCGATCCAGAATTTCCTCTTCAAGGGCAACGAAGACATGGACAACTTTAAGATGCAAATGAATTGGAACCAAGACGAGCTCGAGCAGTGGGCGACCGCGGCCAAGCAAAAGGAAGACGACAACATGGCGCTCGAGAAATACACGCGCGCCGACGACGCGCGGATCAAGGAGCTCAACCTGGAAATTGAAAAGCTCACGAAAGCCCTTCAAGTCCAGAAGCAGCTCGTCGAGCATGAGGTAGCACTAGACCACCCACCACATTGGCCCTACCTCATGTAGGCGACCGAGACGCAAGCCAAGCAGATTGAGCTTGACAAGACCGCCGACGAGTTCCGCGCGATGCATGACGAGCGCCAGCAGCTCGTCAAGCAGTGGCAAGACACGCTCGAGGCCATGAAGCGCCGCGACGCCGAGATCGCGGCGGCGAGCGAGCAGTTCGCTGCCAAGCGCATGAGCGTCGAAGAAAAGAAGGACGCGCTGAGCGAGCACAAGCACCGGTTGAAGCTGCAGGAGCAGGACAACAACGATCTCCAAGTCAAGATCCAGGCCAAAGAACGACTCCAGTCGAAACTGCGCCTCGAGCTGCAAGCCGCGAACGTCCGGTTCCAAGAATTCCGCGACCAAGTCGAGATCCTCAAGAACCAGCTCACGAGCACGGTGACGCACCTCAACCAGCAGCGCGCGTACAACAGCAACAAGCGGTCGCACCTCGACAAGCTCGTCGACGACGTCGAGGCGACGCGGACGCGGTACAAGACAACCAAGAAGATCCTCGATGCGACCATGAACTCGACGGTCGACGCCGAGACGATGGCCAAGAACGCTGAAGCCGACTTGAACGCGATGGAGGCCGAGTCGCTGCGCTTCGACAAGGAGATTACGCTGCTGAAGGACCACATGTTCCGCCGCAGCCAGACGCTCTTTACGCTGCGGCAAGCCGAAGCGACGCTCATCGCGGAAATCTCGGGCGCGGTCGCCGCGAGCCGCAACCTCTCGACGAAGCTCAAGCTCCTCGAGCAGTCGGCGCTGCGGCAGCAGGAGCTCGTGTACAACGGCGAGTTCCAGATCCAGCAAATGGAGCGCAAGGTGTCGCGCGCGTCCGGCGAGCGCACGGCCGACGAGACAAAGGCCATGAAGGCCGAGATCGAGGTGCTTCAAGCCGAGTACGACGCGACGCACGCGCAGTACTCGATGCTTCAAACGCAATGCAAGAAGCTCAGCGACGAGCGCAACGCGACCGAGCGGACGAAGCGCGCGCTCTTGGCGACGCGGGACGAAACGACGGCCAAGATTGCCGAGCACGAGCTCGCGAACGCGAGTGCGGAGAACTCGCTCAAGGCCATTTACCGCGAGAAGGAAGACCTGCTTGTGCAGCACGATTTGCAAAAATTAGAGGTCAAGCGGCTCCGCGACTTTCTCAATTCGCGCGCCGACCAAGTGCTCACGCTTGAGAACCGCGAGTTTCAACTCAAAAAGAGCATGGAAGAGCGCAAGAAGGAGATTGGCGTCCACCGCGAAGTGCAGCGGGCGACGGTCAAAGCTGCCGAGGAAGAGCGCCATCGCGTCTCGGTCGAACACTCTGAGCGCGAGCTCCGCATCAAGAAACTCCAGGCGAAATTCGAGACGGTACCACCCACGATTGTGGCCCACTTGCGTTCGATATGACTCGAATATGGCTGTAGCTGTGCAAGACCAGTCCGTTTGGCAACATTGACGAAGACGGGCAAGAGCGCAGCCAAGCCTACTTTGTCATCAAGGCCGCGCAGCGCCGGGAAGAGCTCCAGCGCGAGGGCGACGACCTCGACGACAAAATCCGCGTCGCCGAGAAGGAAGTGCGCGCACTCACCAAGACCCTCGCGCACCTCGAAGGCCGGAACACCGAGTACCGCAAGAGCTTCCATCGCGCAGATATGGTTGGCGAAGACGCGATCAAGATGAACCAGCTCGAAGATCAAGTCAAGGTCGCGGAAGACACGCTCTTCAAGCGCAAGAAGGAGCTCCAGCGGCTCGAGATGGACATGGAAGCCGAGCAGCACCGGATCGCCGAACTCGAGATGCAGGCGCGCCACTTCAAGGACCACAACGAAAACCTCCACGCGGCCCAAGCCCAAGTGCTCAAAGAGCTCGAGACCGAGCGGGACAGAGGCGTCAAGATCACCAAGCGCCTCGATCGGCTTGTGAGGGACCACCGGGCGAACCGCATCGTGTCCGAGCATGAAAAAACCATTGAAGAGGTCGTGCTCGAGACGTACAACGCCAAGGAAGTCAACCACAGCCTCCTCTACACCCTCGGGCAGCTCGCGCACGAGTTTCCAGAGCTCAGCGACCCGCTCCACGAAAGCGTGAAAGGGCAAAATCTCCACATTCCGGCCTTGCCGCCCGGCGCTGCGCTTGCGCGTGGACACAAGAAGGGCTCGAGCAGCGCGTCCGACTCGCGCCCGCCGTCAGCGCGCAGCGATCGCAGCGACCTCAGTTCCGTCAAGAGCTCTGTGAGCAGCACCAGTAGCCGCAGTACGAACCGGCGCGCCGTGCCCATGGGGAAGGTGCAACTGGGCTTGTAGGACCGACACATGGCGAGGTCATTGTATCCAAATGCAACGCAACGCGTCTCTATTGTTGTACTATTAGTGTGTTTGCTTACAGCGTCGTGTCGTGGCCGTCGGGCACCTTCTCGGAGCGCGCCGGCCGGCGTCTGCAGAGCTTGACGCAGAGCGTCATGAAGGCCGTCGCGAGACAGACCAGCAGCGCGAGGGTGCCGCCAAAGATGCCTGCGCCCCGCAGCCACGACGTGGCGCCCATGGACGTGACGACCGACTTGACGACTGACTGAATGACCGACGACTTGGTCGCTGCCAAGAGGGACGTGCGGGTGTCGTTGACGACCGACGGGATCGTCAGCGCCGTCAAGTTGCCCCGCAAGACGTCTTCGGCGTGCAATACGAGCGGAAGGAGCGCATGGAATCGCGGCGCCCCGAGGCCCGTCGCAGCGTCCCACCCCCGCGTCGCGTCAAAGCCGTGCGGACACCGGGGCGCATTGTCCTTTAGGAGTTTGCCCGCGCGGTTGTCACCTACGGTGATGTCGAAAAACGCGTCTTTGGCGGGGAACCGATAGAGAAGGGCGTTGAGGAAGCCGACGGGCGACTTGCCCGCTCGCAGTCGCGCGTCGTTCCAGAGCGTGACCATGGCCGCTAGCACCGGCGTCGACGCCGACGTGCCACTGATCGATCGCCACTTGCCGTGGACACGGACGCGGTAGTGCGCCCCGATCGCCGACACATCCGGGTACCCGCGACCCGAGAGGTTCGCATACGTCGTTGGCACTGGCGCCCTGGCGATATACGACGCCAGCGCCCGTGCTTGGTACGCGGGCTGCGCGTACACGGACGAGAAGCCGCCACCGGACGTGATGCGACCGCCGTGGTCGGCCATGCACACGGTCTCGGCGCCATCGAGCAGCATCGTGGCCCCCACCGACGTCACGTACGGACTGGACGCTGGCCATTGCGGCCCACCCTGTGAACATGCTATTGCCAGGGACAGGTTGCGCTGGCGGTGTCGCAGACCTACGGAAGAAAGCATCAACGCCCGGTCGTGGATAGATGCAGCAGCATGACGTAATACCCATGGCACCGTCGTCGCCGCTTGCAACGATCACGGTCAGGCCGCGGAGCGCCATTTTCTGGAGGAGGCGGTCGAGACTGCGGAGGTAGTTGGGCGCCGTGGCGGCCAAGTGGCGCTCGTCGTCGGCGTAGCTAATCGAGTGCACGAGCGGAGGCGACGACCGCGAGAGAACGTCGTCGGCCCACGCGACAAAAGGCTCGTCCAGCGCCGAGAACGGGTTGCGCCCGCGCATGAGCCAAGCGTACGTGGTCGCGAGCGGCGCCATGGCCGTGAGGTACTGGACGTCCAGCGACGGCTCAGCATGCGGCGAACGCGGGTCGTTGGGTCGGTTGCCGCGCTGGGCCAATTGCGCGCGAGGCGTGCCCATAGTCTCGTTGAAGTCGGTCAAGTCGGTTTCCGAGTAGGACGCGTCACAGAAGACGGCGAAGCTCTGCGTCGCCTGCGGGTCCGTCACGACGAGGTCGGCGGGGACGTGGTACAGGCCCCGCAGCACTGTGGGTGTGATCAAGGTCTTCGCATCGAGGCGGCGCGATGGATGGAGGGTGGCCGTTGCGTCGGTAGCGCTAGGAACGATGGAGGACGCAGGCAACGTTACGCTGACAAAGTCAACGTAGGCGGCGACGACCTCGGGGACGTGAATGGGCGTCGTTGCCTTGACGACGCGGTGCGAGCCAGACGCAGCAAACTCGGTCAATGTCGTGTTGAGAAGCGCTTCGAGCTCGAGAATTGAGCTTTCGACGACGAGGAGGTTGGACGCCGCCGAGTACGTCGTGTTGAGCTTGCCTAGCCACGTCGTGAGCGCAGGCAGCGCCGCGGCTTCGGGCTGCGTGAGCGCATCGACGGCGGCTCGACTCAGGTAGCGCATGAAGCGGGGGTGTCTACGCGATTGGCATGAGGACGGCCGCTCCGTGCGGTCAAGGTACGCACGATGGTGTTGTGACATTTGTGAACGCGTCGTCGAGGGCGTATGGCCGCGCCGCCTTGACACCGACCCACCACGTCACACGCTCGTCCTCGGAGAGAGCTCGTCTACTTGGCGTCCATGGGCCATGCGCTCGGAACGCCGGCGACGTCGCAGCCTCGACGGCCACGGCCACGAGCCAGAGCACGGTCAGCATCCGCGGGTAAATCCTTGGACTTGAATGTATCCGGAGGATACCTGTAAATTTGGATATACTGTCACAAAACATCGTCATTATATTATATTTTTTCATACAGGATCCTGTCCACTCCACACCTCTCATATCGCATACGGTCACTGCCAGCGCGCGGCTCGGTTGCGATGGGCGACGAGGATGTCGTCTCGTTCAGAATCCCAACCGCGTGAGTTTCAGCCATAAAAAACACTGTATTGAAAACGCTGAAAGGTTCTTGTCCATCGACGGCCGCATCTGCAAGCGGTGGCGGTGGCAAGCTCAGCACTGACGCGGGTTGTGCCCCGTCGCTTTGCACTGTGCTTTGTCCACTTCGAGGCACATATTATTCACCCCTGCTTCGAGGCTCGCCATCTAATCCATTTGTCAAGTCTTATATCACATCGCAGCTTTGCATTCGTCCCATCGAAGAGCCAGCAACGTCTCTCCCTACGACAGCTCTCCCGGACACAACGGCGCGCAGGACAGTGAGAGTGCTGGTCGTTCGCGGCCACTGCACTTGGTGTTTGTATCCTCTGAAAAATGTGTTTTCGGGGGTTTTGATCCGGATGGTATGGTCCCCTGAGCGTCATTTTCGGATTTCCGCCAACGAACAATGGGCTCGGAGAAGAAGGTGCAGCTGATCTCGGCCGAGGGCGAGAGCTTCGAGGTGGCCCTGGACGTGGCCCTCATGAGCCAGCTCGTCAAGGAGCAGCTTGAGGACGACTGCGAAGACGGCCAGGAGATCCCGCTGCCCAACGTCAAGACGCCGGTGCTGCAAAAGGTCATTGAGTTTATCAACTACCACCATGCGACGCCAATGAAGGAGATCCCAAAGCCGATCAAGACCAAGTTCGAGGACGTGGTCGAAAAGTGGGACCTCGACTTTATTGACGTACCGTACGAGATGATCTTTGAGCTCATCCTCGCGGCCAACTACCTCGACATCAAGAGCCTCCTCGAGCTCTCGTGCGCCAAGGTCTCGGGCATCATCTTTGGCAAGACGCCCGACCAGATCCGCGAGACGTTCAACATTGAACAGCCCTTTACGCCCGAAGAGGAAAAGTTCATTCGCGACGAGAACAAGTGGCCGGAGGAGTAAGCGCTGTCGCCTGCCGCACGCAAAATGGTAACACGTTTGAATTTATTTTGGATCGATCAAGTGTCTTGCCCAAGAACCCGGCGTGGCGTCGGCGAGGACGCAATGAGACGAGCGCGGAGATGGGGGTGGCACGTGCACGGCTCTACAAGATGACCACAATCCCACAATCCCACGCAGTTAAAGGCCAGTCGTCCACGCAACGCGCCACAATGCGTGTGGCATCCATCTCACCACTCTTGTCGCCCACCCTGCAACCCATCACAGCATGTCCATGGAGGGCGCGAACCATCGGCATGAAGCCAAGTCCGGGGTAAAAGTCATTGGTCGTGGCCAAGACTACCGGTATATGGTAAGCAGTTTAGTCGATTCCGCGAGACAATCGACTAGACGAACGACGCGCGGGCGAGGAAGGTGTTGAGCAACTCGAGCGAGACTTGGGGCTGTGCCGACGGCACGAGGTGGCCTGCGTCGAAGATGCGTACAAAGGTGAGGAGGTCATGGGCGCGAACTTGGCCGACCTAGAGCAGAGGAGGCGGATAGTAAGGATGCATGCATGGATCGCGTCAGTCTACCGTGCGGCCGTCGGCGGCGAGGTAGGGCTGCAGCGTCGTCTTGTTGTAGCCGGAGGTCTGCGCCCACTTCATGGCCGAGGACCACGCGTCAATCGACTGCCAATTGCATTGGAGGTCGGCGTCGCCCGCATACAAGAGGACGGGCACGTTGGCCGCCAAGATTGCTTCCACATGATGCGCATAGTTGGTGACAATGTCGATGAGGAAGGGCTCCATGTACTTAGGGTTGTCGCTGCGGTAGACGACAGGAGATGGTAGCCCAAGCTGCGCCTGGACGTCCGGGCGGTTGAGGAACGTCGCTACCGCCTTCATGGGCGCTTCGCACACGTCGTCGATGCACTCTTGGCGAATGTCGAGGCTGTTGCGGGTCGGCGCATAGCTCTCCATCGAGCCCTGAAACGTGATGAAGGCGAGCGCCGCGTCTTCGCAGACCGAGTCGTTCTTGGCCGTCCGGCAGGCGCGGATGCGCGTGGTCACGTCATGCGCCATGGCTTGCAGCTCGGCCAGGTGCGACGACGGCACAAGCGTCACGTTGTACTGGTTGTTTACCATATCGAGCTGGTGCTGCGCCTGGATGTCCGTGTCGGTGAGCCCGTTCCCGATCGCGATGCCTTGGAGGTTGATAGCGCTCTCGTTGGCCGACAAGAGCGTCGTTGCAATCGCAGGAATGTAATGCCCGGCGTAGCTTTCGCCCGTGAGGTACAGCGGTCGGCGCGCGAGGTCCGGGTGCAAGGCGAAGAAGCCGCGCAAGAACTGCAGCATGTTGGGCCCAATAGCCATCGGCGCGCTCAGCGGGCCCAACGAGAGACCGACCGACGCAGGCTGGTCGACGTAGATGACGTTGGCACGTGTATTCCACGCATACTCGTTGTACGCGAGGCGGCCATCGCTCTGGACAAGGCACGGTCCGTTCTCGAGGAAGAGCCCGAGCATGCTTGAGGACCCGGGCCCGCCATTGAGCCAGAGCACGAGCGGGTCGGACTCTGGGCGATCGCGCGACTCAAAGAAGTAGTAGAAGTACTGCGTCTGCGGCGCGACGTGCATGTAGCCGGACGACTGCACGACGTGTGGGTCGCAGACAAAGGCTGCGGCGGGGGATTGCCACCACTCGGCGGCGAACCAGCCAAGGCTTAGCAGCAGCGGGACTCCGATGAGCAGGCCCCAAGGCGAGAAGCGCGGGCGTGGCACCGCCATCGTCTGCTCCGACGCATGGCGAACGAGGCCGGTAGTCTCGGTCGCGGATGCCATCGGAAGGTTCAAACTGTGGCCTTTCCAGCCGCGGGAAACCAGATCTACATTTCACACACCAGATGATGTGAAAAATACCATCGGCCCACGGGCCTGTCGACGACGACGATAAAGAAGGTGGCAACGAGGGTTCAAAGCACGGTCCTATCGACGATCTATCGAGCTTGCAGTGGGAGTCTTGCCGACACGCTTGCCGAGAGGTCTCCATTGATACTGAGTAGACTGATGTGCTGCTATATGGCGGAGCGTTGAAGCGTGTGAAATGATTTTCACGTGCGTATGGTGGTGAGCCAGGCGACGGCCCTGATTTGAGGCAAATCCTCCCGAAATTAGGATCTATCCGGATAATCTCGAATTTTCAAACCTCCGTATCCGTAGGTCTTTCGGGTAGTTCGAGTGAACTTTAGCGGCAGCGCAATGGCCAAGGGCGGAGACAAGCGACAGCGCCGGGACAGGACGCCCGAGCCGCCGGCCGAGGCCCGCAAGAAGGCCAAGGGGGGCCATGAGACCGACGACGACGACGAAGAGGACGACGTCCGTGGCATCACGATGCGCTCGAAGAAGAGCAAGCCGCTCCGAGCGCAGCCGATGGACTCGACCGACGACGAGGCCGAAGACGACAACAACGCCATGGCGCCGCCGGCCAACGAAGACTATACTGCCTCCGAAGAGAGCGCGTTTGTGACACCGGCCGCGACGCCCAACGAGCCGCGCGACGCCACGCAGACGGAAGAGGCCATGGCTCGTCGCCGCATGCGCATCAAGGGGTCGCTCTCTCGCCGGAAATCGCTAACGCCTGTGACCAAGACGAAGCAGTACGTCGCCGACATGTACTCAAAGATCATCCAAATGTCGTCGGAAAACGTACGTTCTTGGCATGCTCCCGACCTTACAATGATGTGGCGATGTAGAAAATCAACTCGAAGAACGCGTTCTCGCTCCACCTGATCGACCACATTGACGACATCCTCGTCGAGAAGCGGTACTGCACGTGGCGTCTCATCTACCTGTGTCTCAAGCAGTGACAGGCAAGAGGACGAAGACTCGACCGACACGTACAACTTTCAAAAGGCCAGCTGCACGCTCGACGCCAGCGTCAAGATCTATTCGTATCGCGTCGATGACACGTGGAACTCGTCGTTCAAGGTGCTCGAGAACCTCACGCGCGGCGACGACGTGCCAGGTAAAACGCTTCTCTCTCTGGCCACCCGCACGTCCCTTGTACAGACGACGACGGCGACGACGACGGGGCGTCCCAGCGCCGCCAGGCCACCAAGAAAGTACGTTCTAAATACTGCGTTTGAAAGATTGATACATGTCTAGCTCACGACGGGCAACACGACCGAGTCCAATATGAACAATATCAACATGAAGTCGGTGGACCTCGAGTTCCAAGTCGACCCGCTCTTCCAGAAGATGTCGCAGGCCTTTGACGAAGGTGGCGCGAAGGGCATGCTTCTCGTCAACCTCGTACGCCCCTCTTGTCGTATATCCGCAGTCGTCCATCGATCACCCAATGCGTAGAGCGTCCATGACGGCTGCAAGATCATGCTCGACTCGAGTAACGTGCAGGCTGTACCCGAAAAAGTCGAGCCGACGGCTCTTGCCGACAAGGTCGAGGCCAAGCCGCTCATCAACATTTCGAGCTTGGCGAAGCGCTTGCGCGCCGAGCCGACGCTGGCAGAGGTGTCCTTGCCGTGTCATTTTATGTAACCTACAGCGGATTGCGTAGGAACAAGAAATTTGCCCGAAGCTTGAGCATTTCTATGACCAGCTCAAGAGCATGAACCACGATTTTTTCGAAAAGAAGGTGACGGTGCCCCGCCTCGACATTGCGGCGTCGCAAGAGAGTCGCCCGCGCCGCATGACGCTGCTCCCCAACGCCAACGAGTCGATGATGGACGACGACTACGACATGGGCATCGGCGCCGACGACGACGACAACGACGATGATTATGCGCCGTCCGAGTACGCCCCGACGCCGGCACCGGCACCGATCGATCCCGCGTCGGTGGCAACCGCCGTGCCCGACGACGAAGAGCAGGACGAGACGGTCGCCAAGCCGCTCAACTTTGACGACGTCGAAGACGACGAAGACGACGAACAGCCAGAGATTGAAGCGGCGGTGGAGCATCATCCGCCAATGGACGACATTGACGACCAGCACCAGCACATGCTCGAGAGCGCGCTCATGCGCTCGGTGGGCGGCGACAAAAATGATGAGTACTCTTTTTTCGACGTCAAGACGCTCAAAAATTGGGCGGGGCCGTCCCACTGGAAGCTCAAGCTGCGTGGTGTCCGGGCATCGGCCAAGCCGTCGGCGAAAGCATCGGCGAAAGCCTCGGCCAAGCCGTCGGACAAGTCGCGCAAGAAGGAAGCGTTTACGTTTACGGCCACCGAGTACGACATGGCGGCAGCCTTGAAGAAGCCCAAGTCCAAGACGGCGTTGACGCTCACGGTCACGATGTGCAAGCGGTACGAGCTGGAAGCCGCCAAGCTCGTGTACCCCGTGGACCTCCACGTGCAGCTCTCGGGGTTTTACCAGCTGTTTACGCGGCCGCAGTCAAAGATCTTTGCGCAGGCGCCGGCGTTGATGATGAGCCACAAGAGCAGCGCGTCGACGGTCGCGGCCATGTCGTTTGGTCGGACGCCCGTGCTCTCGAACGACCACGCACCCAACGACAACGACGACGATGACGGGATTGACTTTGGCGGCGGCGCCGAGGATTTTAACCCAGCCGACGACTACAACGGTACACGTATCTTGGATAGTACGACATGGGGATATTTATCGAGGTAATATTCGGATAGTTTCTGGGCTGCTCCAAGCCGACCGCGTTGTCGACAAGATCAACATTACGTATGAAAAGTTCGCCAAGCGCGTGGACGTCAAGAAGCTCAAGGAAAGCATTTGGTCGACGCTGCCCTTCCATGTCGAGAGCAATGACGACGAAGAAGAGACGAAGGAAGATGCTGCAATGGACGAGCTTTCGGCGTCGGCGGCCAAGCTCCACGTGGACGATGTGGTTTCGTTTGAAGACATGGTGCATGACGTGGCTCCAAACGTACGTTGCTCGTCGCTGGAGAAGACGCGGCATGATGTCATGTGTGTCCTTAGGTGCCTCGCAATGTGACCGTGTCCTTCTACTTTATTTGTATGCTGCACCTCGCGAACGACAAGGGACTTGAACTCACGGGGCAAGACGACCTCCAAGATTTCAAAATCGCCAAAGACAAGTCGATCGTGCACTAGTTGGCTCTACCATTCGTATCCGCAGCACATGGTTTCTCTTCCCATTTGGTTTGTGTTCAAGCCTCGTCCATTCGACCCTCTTACGTCAGCGGACAAGCCAACGCCTGCGTCCTTGTGGAGATGAGAAAACGCCACAGCAGGGTTGTTGCTCGTTTCCAGCACACTCAAAACACTGGTCGTTGATTCAAACGGCACAATAGCATCCATCATCCATCATAGCTTCCAGCCGCGATCGAGGTCGAGAGCCGTCGATGGCGTCGATGGCGGCGGCCGCGGTCGCGTCGGCGGCGTGGCCGTTAAGACCTTTTTCTTTTCTCGCTGGACGTTGGCCGACGGTTTGAACTTGGACGGGAGCACGATCGGCATGACTTCGTTAAAGTCGCGGAGCGCATCGTCGATGGCAAAATTTTCGGAAAACAAATTGTCGCGGAGCAGCGATGTCGACGACGACGACGTGTCGGACGCAGCAATGAGGTCCTGGTAGCCCTCGTACGGAAAGGCGTAGTTGTGGACGATCGCAATGATGCACATTTCAAAGCAAATGAGCACATTTTGGATGCCGGTCGTCACGTCGTCGGTGGTCCAGGACCCGATTTCGTGGATGATCTCAAAGCGCGAGAGGAATGCGAGCACGACGCTCTGCCAATAGCTCAGGAAGAGCACGGCTTTGACGCACAGGAACTTGGGCACGGGGTTGTACGGCCGGAGGTGCGTCCCGAGCGCAAGGTAAACAGCACGAGGTAGTAGAAGGCGTACGTGACGCTGCAGTTGAGCACGAGCGAGAGGTAGAGGTAGCCTCGTGAGATGGTAAAGTGGCCTTCGTCGTACAGTCCATAGTGCTAGTAGGAACTCCGTCGCTCGTCGAGAAGGCATTCGATGGTACCTCGAGGACAATGGCGAGAAAGGTCGTGAGTGGCTTGAGCACGACGAACTGCATCGCAGCCATCTTGCAGTCGCGAAGAAACGCCTTGCCCATCTTGATGGGCTTGTAGCAATGGTTGAGCGGAAACGGATGCGGGAGGTCGGGCAGCGTACGCAAAATCTAACACTCGTGACATGGACGTCCAGCGAAGGCACACGCACCGCAATGACACGCTCGTCACTGCCGTCGCCGAGGTATGCGATCATGAGCGCAAGGAAGAGGTAGATCACGTAGGCCTCGTAGCAGTCGCGCAGCATATCAAAGATCAATGCGTACGACTACAAGAACATGAGCGTGATGGCGAGAGCAGTCGTGCGCGTACCCGGAAACGCAAGGAGAGCCATGAGTCGGTCGCATAGATCGGCACCATCCAGAGGATGCCAATGATCTTGCGCTGGATGAGCGGCTTGGTAAAGTGGCGGAGGTGGTTGCGGATGAGCCGCATGGAGGTGAAGATCGCGAGCAGCACAAAGAGCCCCGAGACGAACCACACGATCCACTGGACGCGGGCCTCGTCGTCTTCGGGGCTGCGTCCGTTGCTGCCCGATGCCGCAAAGGCGCTATAGTCAAAGAGGACTCTGTAGACGCCACCGTCCGCCATGCTTGCTCTGTCTTGACCAGGATCGCCTGGAGCTAGAATCCGGTAGCACTTGCTCTTTGTATGGGAACCGGTATCCAAAACGGCTCTTCATCGGTGCGCCTGAGTTTAAAAACACCCAACTTTAGGTGGTAACATCCATTGAATCCAAGCTGGCGTATAATTGTGATAGCCTTCTGTCGCCACGCTGCGGCGGAGCCCCAAGGTAGCTACTCGTATTTCCAGGGGCGAGACACGGCGGGACCGCTGGTGGCGCTGTTTCAAGCCCGCGAGAACGCTTTGACGGAATTCAAGGTGCGTGCGTTTATCCTTCTCGGGCACCTCAAACGCAGGGCCATACAAAACCCAACGTGTTTTTATTCAAAATGTCAGAGACGCAGGCCGAGCAATCGACGATTTCGGCCGAGGCAATTGCATGCGCGTCGCCGCCGCCGCCCGCGATGGCCTCGCCGACGCGCGACGAGAGGTCGGCCCCGCGCTGCGCGCCGGTCGACGTCGAGTGCATCTTTCCGTCCACATGGGGCACCTCTCGGGCGTACGAGCGGTTGCGCCACCTCCGGGCCATTGAAGCGGCCGCGTACGTGCACCAGGCACAGCGCCAACGCAGCCTCGATGCGACACTACCGCCAGCATTCACGACGCCCGCGATCCGGCGCATCGACGCGCTCATGGAGATCCAGCGGCGCGAGTGCTTCCGCCTCGAGCGCGCGCACGCCCGCCACGACGAGCACGCGACGCACACGTGCATGTACGCTGCCCGCAACGAAGATGGCGAGATCATTCGCCCCGAGTTTGTGCGCGACCGGTCGTGGCCACCAAAGGAGTTTGCGCTCAAGAGTATGCCCAAACAGGGCGGTGGGCGTGGCGGTGGGCGAAAGCGCAAGGTGCCCGACAAGACCCCGCCCAGCTCGACGAAGAGCGGCTCGCGTACAGCTACGAGCGCGTCTGCGTCGACTGCACGACCAAGGTCTCGGCGTTGTGGCGGCAAGTGGACGCCAAGAGAGCCGACCCAAGCCCCGACGCACAGCTCGTGTACCTCAAGAAGGACGACGTGTGTTTGAACTGCTACGTCAAGCGCACGTGCCCCATCAAGTCACGCGCGCAGCTCGCGGCCAAGAAGCGCAAGGAGAAGCTCAAGGAAGACAAGGTCGCCCAGAAGGTCAAGGCTGCGCCGGCGCCGGTCGTCGTCGCGCCGGTCGTCGAAGTACCTATCGTGGCCGCCTCTCCGGTGGCGGCGAACCTCGTCCACGACGTCGTCGAGCCCGACGAGAACGGCGAGAGCTCGGACGACAAGAAGCGCAAGAAATCGGCCAAAAAATCGTCGAAAAAGAAGAAGAAAAAGGCCAAGAAGAGCGCCAGCAGCTCGCCGCCACCGTCGCCGGTCGCCGACGTCCTGTCGCCCCACGACACGGACGACGAGCGCAAGCGGTCGTCCAAGAAGCGTGCGCGGGACCACAGCGTGGCGCCCAAGGCCAAGGCGATCAAGACCGAGACCGCCCGCGAGCGCGAGCTCCGCGCGATCGGCCAGTACTGCCCGGTGTGCAACGTGGTGTACGAAGACGACGATGTCAACGACTTTATCTGCTGCGACGCGTGCGAGATGTGGGTGCACAGCGCGTGCGACCCCAAGCTGGACACGTACTACACTATTGCATCGTTCTTGGTCGTGGTTTAATGTTGTGTTGCGTGCGTGTAGCTTCAAGCTCCAGGAACTGGCCGACTCGAATGCCAAGTACGTCGGGCCGTGCTGCAGCCAGAAGCGGTAAACGCATGGCGACGACCAGACAGTGCACTACAGGATAGAAACACGCAGTTTTTTGTCGCTTGGCCCCAACGCCTCTCCATTCTTCTCCGAGGAACTCACGCCTCTCCCAGCACCACACGGACGAAAACGTCGGGTGGCCAAGTGAGCGCCGGCATCAGCGTTCTAGGCTCAAGGTCAACGTGTCTCCACACAGAGCTCTACGACCAGCGATGCCGATGCATGTTGCAATCTTACAAGGCGCTCTTCTCGGGCGTGTCCGAGTCGTTGCCGTCGTCGTCGTCCTCGATCGTCGCACACGCCAGCCGCGCCGCGACGGCCTTGGCGCTGGCGTTCTTGAGCATCGCCTTCTCGGCGCGTACACTGGCTTTGACGTCCTTGGTCATGGACGGCACCGCGCACGCAATGGCCACTTGCAGCAGAAGCACCGAGTGCTCCGCGGCGAAGACGACCCACACCTTTTGGGCGGGCGAAATGGTTGGGGCCATGCGCTCCATCTGCGTGGTTGTAAAGGCCACGTGGAGGCAGTTGGTGAGGACGGCCAGAATCGACATGGCCTGGAGCACGGGCAACCTAATTGTGATTCAGCGACAAGTCGTCTGGGCGTGAAGTACCAGATCCCAATGCCGCTGGCTTTGCGCGCGATCGGGCGCTGCTTGGTGTGGCAGAGCTTGAACGCGTCGGCGCGCAGAGCGATGAGGTTGTTGACCAACGCGAGCAATGGCGCGAGGGGAAATGCAATCGAGAAGAAGCTCACGTAGCCAAACTGGATGAGCATCTCGGTGTAGTCGTCGAACGGGTCGTACTTGTCCAATTGGCTTTCGTCCCAGACCAAGGACGACGCTTGCTCGAGGCGAATGCACTGTCGATGGACAGCCGTCGGTGCGGTCGTCCGAAAGAAAGGCGACGCGCGCAGGAGCTTGGCCGTCGCCTGGCTCTTCCTGCGATGCCGGATCACGCGTCGCAGCAGCGGCACGCCGGTCTTGACGACGTTGTGCCACATTTGACCCGAGAGCATAAAGGTCGCGAGCTGGATCGCGACCCGCAAGAGGTCGTTGCCGGCCGCAAACGCGTAGTAGTACAAGGTCGCAAACACGTGCACGAAGCGGAACGGGAAGACCTTGAGGATGAGCGCGCTCTGGAAGGCCGACGCGGTCTTGTGGTTCTCCCACTCGGTCATGCGCGTCGCGAGCAGCGTGAACAAGAGATCGAGCATCGGGATGCAGAGACCGTAGAGCATCGGCGTCAAGAGCACGAAGACCCAGAACTTGGCGTTCGCGAGTGCATGCAGCTCCGAGAGGTTGGACCAATTGAGCGCAATGTGCGTCAAGTTGGCTTGGAGCGCGAGCGACTCTTCGGCGAGCGCGTCGCTGTCATCGCAACATGCGTCATCATCATTATGCAGTGACATGTCATGGTGACATACCGCGTCGTGAAGGCATAGTACATGAGCGCGAGCACGAGGGCGATCGCGGCGAGCACGACGGTGTACGTGACCGCGTACTTGAGCCAGCGGTGGAGACCGCCTTTGTGGTACGCGGGGCGAAGCACCTCTTCGTCCTCGTAGCCCAGCACGCCCCAGCGGTACGCGAGCGAGTTGGCTTGGCGCTTCCACGCGAGCAGAAAGCCAGACGCCCAGAGCGCCATGAAGAGCGCATAATACGGCGCGAACGGCTGGTCGAGGGACTTGGTCGCGACTTGGCAGTAGAAGAGGTAGATGCCCACAACTGTCGGCAGCACGAGCCAACGCGTGTAGAGCTGGACCCACGCAAAGTAGAACGCGACGTGCTCGCCAAAGTACTCTGCAACCAGATCCAATGGCTGGTCGAGAGCGTAGCGCAATATGCGGTACAGCGTCCGTGCGGCGACGGGGACGGACGACGGCGACGACGGGCGCCAGTAGCAGACCCAGTGCGTGCGCAGAAGGTCCAAATTGGCCTTGTGCAGTGGCAGCATTTGCTCAATGATGGGCAAGAGATCGCTAGGCATGTGTAAGCAAGAACATGTTCGATCGATCGATCGATAGATAGATACCTGTGCTCGTTGAGGCCCGCGCCGTCGTCGGTGGTAAGGAGGTTGTGCACGATGCTCTGCTTCTCTGAATCTAAAAAATGCATGTCGCCGTTGCGGAAATCTTGAAAGGTCTCGCGGACGTCGGCGGCAAACTCGACCCACATGAGGTCGACTTGCCGCCGCTTCTTGAGCCGCATCTTCTCGGCGCCGAGCTACTTACATCGCGTATGGACATATGGATGAGTGGAAGAAGGAATATGCACCTCGAGGACGTGGCCGGGCGCCTTGACCTTGATGAGCGTCTGCTTCCCGTCGAGCGCTCGTAGCTTTTTGGTCTGGAGCCCCGCGGCGTGCAGGCGTCGAAGCAGCTCGACCTTGGCCTGCTGGGGATGCTTGCGGTAGAAAGCCCGGAGGTTCGTCGCCGGCGCCACGTGGCGAGCGACGGCGTTGTCGTCGGGTCGCGTCGGCTTGAGCACGATCGCAAAGTCGTACTCGGCCTCGCTTTTGGAGAGCGCACCGAGGGGCATGCCATCGGCGCTCGCGCGGAGTGTGTCCACCGTAGCTGGATCAAGCCGTTGCTGCTTCTTGGTGGGCGAACCCGAGCCTTCGAGGAGGATGCTCGAGAAGCGCAGGCTCGCTTCGAGCGCTTGGGCCGACACGTCCTCGGAGGGCCGGGAGGCGTCGGTCTTGTCGGACGCGGCCGTCGAGCGACGGCGCGGCTGGGTCACCTCGGGCTCGAGCGAGACCGATGGCCGGCGCGACTCGGCGTAAGCTTCGCCGAGGGCCTCGCCGACGGCCATGGCGGCTGCCCGCTGGTTCATCGGTTTCAAGTTAATACAACTGTCGACTAAACGACTAATAGTCTACATTTCGGCGGGTCTTTATATGTATTGTTTGTATCCAGCCCGTGGGCCAGTCCAATGTATGTATTTACAGAGGTTCTGAAACGGCCCATCCAGAAACACGGGCATCGGCACCGTTTCAACTGCTAGTCGCTCGATCGACTAAACACGCGTGGTACTAAATTTGGAAAGTACGCGCGCATGGAGTCGGTCGTGACGACGCTGCCCGTCATTGCGCCGCGGTCCGCATCGCCCACCAAGGTATCGTGCCTTCTATCTATCAAGCTATCAACGCCAATCTTCTGGATACTGTAGCCGCGGGTGCTCCTGCGCACGATGACGCTGCCAACCTTTGAACTCAGCCCCAAGTGCGACACGGCATCGGTTGGCGCCTCCTCGGGCTTCCAGAAGCGCGTCGCACTCTCAAAAGCACGACGCGCTAGCTGCAGTGCGCTCTGCGCCAAGGTCGCGGCCCGTGCACCGACGTTTGAAATCGAGGAGCAGCTGCTGGCGGCCCCGACCAACGTCGCCTTGCGCATCGAGTTGGGGTATCGGTACGCCGAGCAGGACGGATCGAAACTCTGGGCCGTCGTGCTTCTGGAGCAAGTGAGCTTGATGCACGACGAGCGGGGCGGGTGGCGCTTCTACCAAGTGCTCGGCCACGCGCACTACCATCTCATGCTGCGCCACCCGCGGCCGCACCACTGCTGCGTCTTCCACTTGCACCAAGCGACCGAGACGTACAAGCTCGCATTGTCCTATCTTGAGAACATGGGCGACGTGCTCCTCGTCATCAACTATGCGACCGCGCTCTTCATGCAAGGCGTCAAGGAACGACCTCTCGAGATGCTCGCGACCGTCAACCTCCGCCATGGTATCCAGTTTGGTCCGCTTGACAACCAGATCTACGTCGATCGCCTCTTTACGCATTTCCAAATCTTATCTGCCAACGAGTGCTTCAATGATGCACTCACCGCGCTCTCGAAAATCCAGCAGTTGCAAGCGCGACCGACGGGGTATGCCACGCGCGACCTCGACCTCGTCCGCGCGCGCTGCCTCCAGCTGCAAGGCGACCTCCTCGCGTCGTCCGAGCTCTTTTCCCGCATTTTGCTCGAGTCGTTTGGCCCCGCAACCACATATGCAGATGAAATGTATGCGACTCTGTGGCACAATCTCTGCAGTCTGTGCCTCCGACGCGGTACAATGGACAGATTGTCTGTCGAAAAAAAGACTATAGAAATGGTTGGTGGATAGGACATCTCTTCTTGGCCATCGACTATGCGACACTTGCGCTCACGTATGCGAAAGCGGCCAAGCTGCGTGCGACCTTGTACTACGCCAGGGGGGTCTCGCACTACTGCCTCCACAACGCCAACGCCGCCGAAGACGACTACCGCCGTGGGCGCAACGCGTCCCACGAGATCAAACCGCTCTATACGCTGCGCGAGCTCAAATCCTCGTACAAAGACGCCTTTGCACTTGTGCTCTCGACTTCAATTCCCGATATTGTTGCGTCGGGCCGCCGCGGCCTCGGCAAAACCACCGCGACGCTCAAGGTCCAGCGACAGTTCCGGCGATTTCTGCACCAGAAGAGCCAGGGCGCAAACCCGCCCAGCCTCACGCAGCGGCCTCTCGCCAGACAGTCGTCGTTCCAGACGTCGATTGTCGCCGAAGACTCGCCACCGGTGCTGCCACGTACGTTACCTCGATTTCGACCGCGTCGTTCAGCCTTACCCCTAGATCTGGACGACGTTGCGGTCGCGCCGCAGCCGTCGCCCACACTACAGCCTAGTGACACAATCGCGTCCCTCAAACTCTTGCACGCAGAAACCGTGCGGCTCAAGCCATACCTTCCACACGCAGCGCCGCGCCAGTTCAAAGCAGCAATCAAGCGCGCTGGCCCCGCACCGCGCTGCTTTTTGTCGCCGGACTTTGACCGCCCCGACGCGCGTCGTCTCCGATCGCTCACGTCGTACCGCCGGGTAAGTCAAGCGTCTAGTATTATGTACGATCCAGATGACGACTATCATCGAGTTGTAGCTCGGGTACTCGAATGGCGACGTGTCGTATGTGCAGCATTGGCGTGCGCTCCTCGACGTCGGCCTCGAACTCTTTACGAGTCCGAAATCGCTGGCGAGGAGCGTGACCCATGTCCGCGCCTTCCACCCGACACTCGGCGAAGCCGTTGCGATCTGCGCGCTCGTCGACAGCGACGGCAACGTCGACGAAGCCTGCGGCAAGCTCAGTGACGCGGCGTACACGACGGAGCTCCAGTCGCTTGTCGTCGTTCTGGACGTCGGAAGCTGCGTCGGCCGGCGGTGGCGGCATGGCACCAACGACACAGCGGACGATGCCAATGACGATGACGAGCATCCACTGTTTGGCGTCCCTGAGATTGACGCGGCGACAGGAAAACTCCTCGTCCATGACCTCCGGACGCTACTGCCGTCCCCGACGCGGATGCCTGCGGCGTCGCCACCGCGCAACGTCTTCGACCGCGTGACGAGCCCGGTTCTAAAGCGCGAGAGCTTTCGCGCAGTGCACATCATTGACGACCACGTCACGGCGGCGCGTCACCAGCGGCGCTCCAAGCAGGATATCGTCGTCTTCAAGTAAACCGTGTTTTCAAACAAACAGTGTTTATTGGAAACAGTGCTTCAAGCCACACAGATGCATCGCGGAGCCTTTGCGTCGCATACCAAGAGAGGAGCTCAGTAGACGCGCTTGAGAGTCTCGTACGTCGCGTCGACGAGCTTGATGAGCGCTTCGGGCGAGCCATCGTTGTCGAGAACGATGTTGGCTTTGACAGCTTTCTCCTATGGGACGAGCGTGCATGAGCAAGGTCGTACTGATTGCATATTGTACAGCGAGGGGCATCTGCGCTTGGATGCGCTTCGTCGCTTGGTCCTTCGGGAGCTTGTCGCGGGCCATGAGACGCGTGAGCTGGTTGGCCTCCGAGCACGCGACAACGACGATCGGCGTGCAAAAGTACTCGAGGATCCGCGTCTCAAAGAGCAGCGGCGCGTCAAAGACCACGAGCTTCGCCCGCTTGACGACGCGGAGGTAGAGGAGCTCGAAAAACATGGCCAAGAGGATGTGTTTCTGACAACAAGAGGGATGAGCATCGCATCGTTTGAATCACACAAGCACGTACGTGGGTGCACGCGTTGAGCGTCGCGCGCTTGGCCGGGTCGTTGAAGACGAGGCTGCCGAGCTTGGCGCGGTCCAGCGTCCGGTCCCCGTTGAGGACGTCCTTGCCAAAGGCGGCGACAATCGCCCGGTGCGCCGGCTGGCCGGGCTCGACGACCTGGCGCGCAACCACGTCGGCGTCAATGATGACCGCGCCCTTCTCGCGCAGCCGCTTCGAGACCGTGCTCTTGCCCGTCGCGATGCCGCCCGTGAGCCCAATGGCGACGCAGCCGTCGCCAGCGGCAAAGCCAAGCATTGTCAAGAAGAGAAGCACGAGCGCTGCTAGCGTGCCCGAGTTGGACCGAAGAAACTAACCACGCCATCGTGTTGCATGCCAAATCGATGGTGGTCGTCGTACCATGTAAGCGCCGGCGCCGACGAGCATGGCGCCAAGCGTGAGGCCGTACTTGTGCAGCGGGCGGTAGGCCCAGCGCCGGCGAAAGTAGCCGACGAGGCCGCTCGCCGAGAGGATGAGCAGCGCCAGCACCGAGTCCCGGACGAACGCTCCAAAGCCCATGATGTCCAACGCAAAACAGGGCTGGGAATCTGTCTCAGCCATCATTTGATCCTTTATAAACCCAGCCATTATCCGAACGCACACACTCCTTCTTATCCGGCTATATCCGGAAAAGCGGGCCAATCAACGCTCTGTCCCGCGATCCTTGCCGTGCGACTTTCTACCAGCGACTTGGTGTCTCTGGCACACTGCCGAGAAACGCAGAAAGGTTCTGGGCCGTCGACAGAGTGCACACAGGACAAAGCGATTCCTTCTGCGGATCTGCACATTGTGCTACAGGCAATAATAATGCCATGACCGCTTCGACTGAGCAACAAGAAATGTTGGTGCTCTTGATGATGACTCGTGCTGCACTGGTATGTCTTAATACCTCGTCGGTCGTGGTGAAAACGAGTCTAGTTGGTGCGAGATCAACTAAGCTTTCTCCTTCTTCTCAGTCGACCGCTTCTTGGCCGTCTCTGGACGCTTGGTCGACGCCCCCGACGACGTGCCTATTCAAAGGTACTAAGGCCACTCTTGTACACAGAAGCTGGTTTACTCGATGCCTCTTTGGAAGACGACTTGCGCGACGTCTTCTTGGACGTTTTGGGGCGTTCTTTGGTGGGTGGGCTCGTCACGATCTTGTCTTCTGCGAGCGCATACCCGTCTCCTTCCTCGTCCGACGTGTAGATAAGGTACTGGTTGCGCTCAATGTGAATCTCCATCTCGGGCGTTTCCTCCTCCGACACGTACTTCTACGCACCCATTGTTGAATAATGTCATTGTAGTGCGACGGGGATCGCCAACCTTGCGGGATTTCTCCGACGCTGTCTCGGGGCGACGAAGACCGCTGGCCGAGGCCGGGCGCTGCCGCGGGCGCAGTGCATTGCCTATATCGTTTGAATCTCAATCTCAAAAAGAAACACCGTTGGTACCGGCGAGTTCGAGGTGCGGCAACGTAAAGTTGTCTTCTTCGTCGTCCCAGACGGCCGCGGCTTCGAGCATCGTTGCTGCCTCTCGTGGCATGAAATACTCGAGCACGAGCGTTTTGAGTTTGAGCGACGCCGTGAGCTCACGAATTGTGTCCAGCAAGTCTTCGCGCTCCTACAGTTGGTGGCGTCAGCGCTATCGTGCAAAGCACTCGGTGCATACGCGCGCGTGTGCCTTCTCCATCTGCTTGACGTCGGCGAGCACTTCCTTGACTTTATTGAAGACCTTTTTGAGTTTCTTCGTCTTGGCTTCGGCTTCCTCTTGCAGCGATTGGTACTAAAGATGTGATTACTCATTGCTCTTCTTGATCGATCGCACCTGCTCCTCCTTCATAAGGTTGGACTCTTCACGCTCGGCGAGCTCCCGCGCAAGCTTGAGCTCTTGGTGCTTGCGCTCTTCGAGCTCGAGCTTCTTCTTGCGCAGCTCGTCCTCTACACCAAACCATTCAAGAAATGACAACACACTCGAGCCACCTACCTTGCTGCGCGGCTTTGTCGAGGATCTCGCTTCCCACAAGCAGCTTGGCTTCCATCGACTGCAGCTTAAGCACGAGTGCTTTCTGCTGCCGCTCCATTTCCTCGTGTTGCTTGCGCTCCATCTCGAGCTTGAGCTCCATCTCACGCTTCTGGTGCTCGGCGAGCGCATTGTCTTTGGCAGCCGCCGAGAGCTCGTCCTGGGCCTTCTTCCGCACGTCGCCAATCTCTTGCTTGGCTTTCTCTGCAATGCGCTTGGCTTCCTCTTCGCTAATACCCTTCTCGATGATGACCTTCTCGACGACCTTTTCGACAATCTCGACGGGCGAGACGGTTTGCGCGGCGACTTGGCCGTCGACGATCGCGCCCGACGGACCGGCCGTGCCAATGGCCGCCAGCTTGGCCTTGAGCGCTTCGATCTCCTCTTGGAACTCGCGAATCATGGCGTCTTTCGGGTCTTCGTTGATTTTCGGTTTGTTTTTGATTTGCTTTGCGCGGCTCGCATACCTTTCCCATCATGATTTCTTGGTTTCCTAAATGCAAATGAGATAGACGCATCTACCGGAGTGTCGTGAGTGTCTCTTCGTAGTTGTAGTCGGCGGGCCCGCAGTTGGCGATCATGACCGTCTTGGTGTTGCCACCGAGCGAGTCTTGCAAGAGGCGCGTGAGCTTCGAGTCGCGGTAGGGAATGTGCTTGGACTTTCCGTCGACGAGCGCAGAAATCACGTTGCCAAGTGCCGAGAGCGACAGATTAATCTTGTTGGCTTCCTGGAGACGGTCGCCGGTGGCCCCCGTCTTGCTTTGACGCTCGCTACCGGCCAAATCGACCTATCCATCCACGTCGCGCTTGAATATGGACAAGACGATCGCAACACAATACGAGGTTGAGCTTGCCCACGCACACGTGGTCCTTGCCGTCCATGCCATCCGAGAGACACTCGACGACAATCGTAAAGATCGAGTGAGACCGCGACGACGTCTGGTTCATATTGGTCGCGCCGACGCTTCGGCTTTTGTTACCTAAGTTTAGCATGCGTCTGTGCCGGTCGATGCCTAGCGAGCGTCCGACCTTGCCGCATCACAGCGTCGATCTCTGCGGCATCCTTGACGACTTGGGCCGTGAGGTTCTTGACGTAGACGCCCGAGTCGGCATTCTACATAGCGTGCGATATCGGCTAGGAATGGCGTTAAATGGTATACCTCTTTGAGGTCGAGGCCGGCCTTGGGGTCTTTCGAGAGCAGATCCCGGACTTCCTCGTTGTAAATCTCGAGGTACGAAGCGCGAACCAGAATTTGCTTCTTCTTCGTGATCGCCACCTACGTGTATGCATCTGTGTTTGCGAGCGAGCACGAAAGAAGCTCGAATTGCCTTGTCGAAGATGTGCTTGAACGAGTTGGGGATGATGCCACGCATCTCGGGCGGGTCGGGCAGGCCCTCCATCGTGTGCGACTTGCCGGCGCCCGTCTAAACTCATGTTTGTGCACGAGTGTACGCACGGGAGGTATACTTGGCCGTAGGCGAAGATGGTGCCGTTGTAGCCGTCCATGACCGCTTCGACGATCGCGGTTGCCGCCGTGTCGTACACCTGCTGCTGCGTTGACTTGGAGCCGAACGCAGCGTCGAACGTAAAGGCTTTCGGCGCCTCGGACGACGCGGCCGCGGGGTTGGTGATCGTCACCTCGGCGCGCTCGAAGCTCGCGACCGTCGCCTCGAGCCGGCCGTCTTGCTTCTCCTTGCTGCTCATCGGCCGGATGCGCACCATGACGCGGACGCTCTCATCGGCCTTGGACGGCGGTGGCATGCTGCAACTCTTACTGGTTGAATCTTGAACCGTCGTCGTATCCAAGCCGGATAATCCCATGCGGCTGGATCGACAGTATCCATGCAAAGGCTCGAAACTGTGGCACAAAATTGTCCTCGCCCCAATGGTGTATTATAGACCAGTCGGAAAACATGTGGTTCACGGTATACAAAGGGCAGAGGCGAGATCCGACCCGTCACTTTTCAAGTAAGTGGCGGTCACCAGTGCCCGCTCCAAATGAGACAAACGCATTGTCTATCGCTGGGTACGAGCTCATGCTGCCATTGTCGCTCCAGTCCACAACGACAACGAGACAAAAGGAACAACTTTTGAAGCTTTAAATCTTTGGGTGGTTCATGGACGAGAGCACACATCGAATGTCCATACAAGGACGGAAGGAAAGGTCTGGCTTACGCCTTGACGATCTTGGGGTACGCGGGCATTTCGGCGACGTTGCACATGCCCTTGCCACCAACGCCGCGCTGGAGGCGGATGTAGCCAGCCTCGCCCCACGACGCGCCCCACGAGTTGCGCACCTTGAAGTAGTTGGTGCCGCTGGACGTAGTGCCGTAGCCGACGGCGATGACTGCGTGGTCCGACTGCGCGCCGGGACACGCCGTCACGACGCCGCCGCTGTAGTACTGCCACACGTCGTTGCCGGCCTCGACGGCGACCGTCACGGGCTGCGTGTTGAGCGCGGTCGTGAGCGGGCCCTCGCCGACAATCTCGACTGCAGCGCCGATCGAGAGCTTCTGGGCCACGCACGTCTTCTTGCACGTGCCGTTGGCGCCGGACGAGCCAGACGTGTACGGGTAGTCCTTGGTGAGGCATTGACCGCGCGACGCAATGTAGTTGATGGCCTTGTCCTCGTAGCCGCCGTCGCAGCCTAGCTGACCGTCGACCTTGTCGCAGCTCACGAGTTGCTGCTCGGAGAGGTTGAGGAGCTTCCCAGTCGCAATGCAGTGCGCCGACTCGGCCGCGCCCGTGGCCGAGAAGCTCCAGCAGCTGCCACAGTTGCCCTGGTTCTTGACCGCGTTGACGCACGTGGAGGTCGTCCAGTCGACCGAGCCGGCAGCCACGACGGCCTCGAGCGCCGCGTAGTCGACGCTCTCGACCCGGAGTGCGCGTTCGGGTCGAGCCTTGCCGAACGACCGGCCGAGGCGCCGCTGGAACTCTTCGTGGCTCAAGAGCGCGAACGGCCCGACATGCGTAAAGCTCGCGTTCGGGTTGGCGGCCTGGAGCACCTCGACGCGCTCCTTGGCCGAGTGGAGGCGCGCGAGAAGGGCATCGCTGGCGTCCTCTTCGCTGTTGATGCTGAACACCTGGGGCAGGAGGCTAGCGTCGCCACCAAACTTGGCGCGCCACGCGTCGAGGTCGGCCGTCAGGGACACCCGCTCGTCCTCGGAAATGGCCAAGCCAGCGGCCGAGACCGCGAGTGCCGAAGCGAAAAGCACGCGTTGCATCTTGTAGTAATGAGGGGAAGACGGGGAAAGGAAAAGTGAGATTGCTTTCGCTGCGTTGGCGAGATCGGATCCCACGGCCGATGGCACCAAGGGTCTGATTTGAGTGAAAAGGCTCGGCGTCGTGATTATAGAGTAACCATGGCTTTCGAGTAGGCTCGAAGACTATACATCACCGTGCATGGGCTAGAAAAATATGGCCTGCGACGTGGGTGCGTAGAACGGGGCGGACGTCTGAGTCGGTCTCAGATGCAGAATGTCGAGGTCTCAGATGCCATGTTGCGGAGGCTCAGATGCAATGTTTCGAGGAACCAAACATAAGACCTCGTATGCACGCGTTGACGTGCCAGCTGTATCAGTGGCGTCGTTGAATGCAAATCCGACGTCGAAAGCAGCTGCGTATCAGAGGGTATCAGATGACGTCGAGATGTTCCGATGGAACGCCCCCCGTGGGAGATCGTAATGGATATCCAACCAGCGCCAGTCGACTTAGCAACTTCCTTTCTCACCCAATGCACGAGTTGTCTGATAATGCTACCTGAACGTACCAGCAGCTTGGCATGTCAGACTGATCACTCGGTAGAACCCACTAACGTAGGCACGCTGGTACGTTCAGGTAGCATTATCAGACAACTCGT